TTCAACATATCCATCTTCAGACTCTCTTATGGAAAGCATATGGAACATACTGTACCACTTGAATTCTGGAGCCAGTTGTATTTCTGTCCCAGGATTAAGCGAAAAACTATTGTTTGTAGGGCTGGAAGGAAACTTGGGTTACTCAGCCATGAAGAACTACATGTAAAGCAAAGAGAGAGTTTCTAAAAGATCTCTAAGTAAAGAAGAACATCTCCATTCATTCATTTCATTCATGCAGTATTGGTTGGGAGTTTGCCATGAGCTAGGTCTATGCACAGAGCCAAAATACCAAGATAAATATGACTAGTCCCTACCCTCCAGTAGCTTACAGTCTAGCAGAGAGAGAGAGGCAGGTATATCAAGGTAGCAGTCCAGTTTGACAAGGCTAAGGCAGAGGTATCTGTCAGATTCAGGCCATGGGGCAGGAGTTGAAAGTGGTTAGGGTGAACTTTTTAGAGGACAGGATGCTTTTTAAAGAGAGTTATAAGGAAGGAGGTAATGAAGGAGAGGGAAGTGTATTTTACACAAAGGAAACTGTACATGCCGCATAAAACAACCTGACACACATGGTACCTAAACCATTTAATAACCGGAACATCACGGGCACGGACAGAGACTAAAACCCACCGGTGTGGCCCGACCAATGCCTGCAGGCTGCAGATCTTTCCTACTACACTTAAAAAAGTCTCTATGATATATAGTTGAGTGAAAAAAATAAAATAGAATGTTGAGTGTTAGAAGTTCAATGTGATAGTTACCCTTGGTGAGGTAATGACAGGAAAGGGCATGAGCAGGGCTTCAGGGTGCTGGGTCTCTGTTTCTTGATCTGGGTGCTGGTCACATAGGCTTATTTATTTGTGAAAATAAATCAAAATGGACACTTATGATAAGTGCACTTTCAGTGCAAATGTTCAGTGAAGAGTCCAATGTTTAACAAAAGATTTTTTAAAAACCTAATACCATGTACTCGGGCATGGCTCAAACCATTGTAAATGGCTCCAGCAAATAGTGTGTGTGAAGAAGATGCCGATAGAGACATAAAGCAAGCCACATTAAAAGAGCCTAATATATATACTGAATTAAGGAGTTTGAACTTTATCCTCAGAGCTGTGAGACTCTCCGGAGAGGATGTGAGCCTGGAATAGAGCTGAGCATGTCTAACAGTGTGGCTTCTGGAATTTTAACCCTGGCTCCATGATTTAGTTACTGTGTATAAACTTCAGTCTCTTCACCTGCAAAATACAGCCATGACTGTGTGTGCCTCCTAAAGATATTTTAAGAATAGAAGATAATGAACAAAAATACTTAATATAGGGCTCACTAGATTCATTAACAAGCATTTGCATTTTAGAAAGTTTCCTCAGGCAGGGATGAGGTGAATGGATAGGGGGTGGCCAGACCAGGGACAGGGAGACAAATTAGATGGCCTTGGCAGTAGTCGAGTGAAGAAGGAATGAGAGCCCAACCAGAGAACAGTGGTCATCAAGCAGAGATCTGTACATTTGAGGGGGTAGAATTAACAGGACTTGATCTGGCCGATGAAAGAGACAGCAAAGTCTAAGGGGACTCTCAGGTGTCTGGCTCAGGTGTCTGGCTCAGGTGACTGTGAAGGTGGTTGTGCTGTTAGAAAGTCAAGAGGAAGAACAGACCTGGTGGAATAGACATTTGAAATGTGTGGAGTTTAGGGATCCTGGGAGGCACCCAGGTGAGCATGTCCACAGGAACTCAGTAGAGATGTCCAAGCTAAGGACATAGATTTGGGGAACATTAAAAGGACTATTGAAGGCATATGAGTAGATGAGGTCCTTCAGGGAAGATGTGTTGAATGAAAAAACATGTGGCCCAATATGGGTCCCTAAGGAACATCAACATGTAAAGGAGCAGACCATGAAAAGGAGCCTATGAAGAACTTTGAGAAGTAATTGGAAATGTAAAAGAAACAGCCAAGAAAGAGAGAGAGAGAGAGAGAGAGAGAATGCTGTTGTGGTAGCTATGAAGGATGTCGTCAACTGTGACAAATGCCACAGAATGGCTGGTTAAATGAAGATAGAAGTGGCTGGCTGTTGATTCCTACCTTTGATGGCCAGGGTGGCTCCTGTAAAAGCAAATCCAGGAGGGCAGCTGGACAAAAGCAGGACTGTCCTGGGGGTGTAGGCCGTGCATTGGAAGAAAGTGGTCAGCAAGTGCAGCAATGGGAAGGAGAGCTGCAGGCAGGAATCTAGATGGGGTGAGCAGGCAAGAGCCTTCCAAAGATCAAATGGTTTTGTCATTTTTTCCAGTATTGGCCACCACCCATTCTGAAAAAGAAAGAGAGAAGAAGGGAAGGAGGAAAGGAAGGAAGAAGGAAAGAGAAAGTCAGTTTAGATCTCTCTCTCTCTCTCCCCCTCTGCCACCTCAGTCCCACCATCCTTCCCTCCCTGTACCTCTCCCTTCCTTCCTGCCTTTCCGCTGTGACCCGAAGGTGGTTTGAGCATCAGTGTGAATGGGCGGACACATCACTGCTGTTGTCTGCCTTCTCCTTGCTGGAGTGAAGGCTGATTCTCCACGTGGCTCTGGGGGCCACATGGGCAGCTGGCAGCCCCTTCTGGAGTGAAGGCTGATTCTCTGCGTGGCTCCAGGGGCCACATGGGCAGCTGGCAGCCCCTTCTGGAGTGAAGGCTGATTCTCCGCGTGGCTCCGGGGGCCACGTGGGCAGCTGGCAGCCCCTTCTGTAATGACTCTGTGTGTGCTCTTTCCGGGCTGGCCTCCAGCCTGCTCCGCCCAGCTGCTGACTTCTTGTCTCCAGAAGTTGGCTCACCCCGCTTCTCCTGCCTACTCCTCACCAAACCAACACTTGCTTCCAGGTAGGGCTCAAAACATACTGTCTTCAGGAACACCCTCTTGTCCCCTATAGTAGACTTAGTCAAACTAAGTCGATGTGTTGGTCATTTTGCATTTCCTGAGAGGTTACTGCAAATCATTCTCATTTTCACTTACAATGATACTTTGCCTCATTGGCAGCATCATAAGGCATCAGGAGGAATTCTCCATGGCTTCTAATAGAGCATCCCACACAGAGTACACCCTCCATGATGGCTGGTTTGGCATGCAGTCAGCACTAGACTGTCTGCTCTTGAGTGTGGGTGTGGGGCCTGTGCATCTGTTGCTCCCTGTGTCACCAGCTCCCTAGGGCTTGGACTACCCATCAATTCCACAGACATTTATTGAGCATCTACTGTGCACCAGGAATGGCACTAGGTGTGCTGGGAAGTCAGCCATGAACCAGGCAGCTGAGATCCCTGCCTCATGGAGTTGATGCTTTAGTAGAAGAGACAGCCAACAAGAAAACAGAAAACAAACGCATACAATCCCACAGCCTGTGGCATGTGCTTCAAAAGAAATAAATAAATGGAGCCATGTAACAAAGAAGGGGCATCTTTATGGCCAGCCCTGAAGTGGGAAGGAGAGCTGCAGGCAGGAATCTAGATGGGGTGAGCAGGCAAGAGCCTTCCAAAGATCAAATGGTTTTGTCATTTTTTCCAGTATTGGCCACCACCCATTCTGAAAAAGAAAGAGAGAAGAAGGGAAGGAGGAAAGGAAGGAAGAAGGAAAGAGAAAGTCAGTTTAGATCTCTCTCTCTCTCTCCCCCTCTGCCACCTCAGTCCCACCATCCTTCCCTCCCTGTACCTCTCCCTTCCTTCCTGCCTTTCCGCTGTGACCCGAAGGTGGTTTGAGCATCAGTGTGAATGGGCGGACACATCACTGCTGTTGTCTGCCTTCTCCTTGCTGGAGTGAAGGCTGATTCTCCACGTGGCTCTGGGGGCCACATGGGCAGCTGGCAGCCCCTTCTGGAGTGAAGGCTGATTCTCTGCGTGGCTCCAGGGGCCACATGGGCAGCTGGCAGCCCCTTCTGGAGTGAAGGCTGATTCTCCGCGTGGCTCCGGGGGCCACGTGGGCAGCTGGCAGCCCCTTCTGTAATGACTCTGTGTGTGCTCTTTCCGGGCTGGCCTCCAGCCTGCTCCGCCCAGCTGCTGACTTCTTGTCTCCAGAAGTTGGCTCACCCCGCTTCTCCTGCCTACTCCTCACCAAACCAACACTTGCTTCCAGGTAGGGCTCAAAACATACTGTCTTCAGGAACACCCTCTTGTCCCCTATAGTAGACTTAGTCAAACTAAGTCGATGTGTTGGTCATTTTGCATTTCCTGAGAGGTTACTGCAAATCATTCTCATTTTCACTTACAATGATACTTTGCCTCATTGGCAGCATCATAAGGCATCAGGAGGAATTCTCCATGGCTTCTAATAGAGCATCCCACACAGAGTACACCCTCCATGATGGCTGGTTTGGCATGCAGTCAGCACTAGACTGTCTGCTCTTGAGTGTGGGTGTGGGGCCTGTGCATCTGTTGCTCCCTGTGTCACCAGCTCCCTAGGGCTTGGACTACCCATCAATTCCACAGACATTTATTGAGCATCTACTGTGCACCAGGAATGGCACTAGGTGTGCTGGGAAGTCAGCCATGAACCAGGCAGCTGAGATCCCTGCCTCATGGAGTTGATGCTTTAGTAGAAGAGACAGCCAACAAGAAAACAGAAAACAAACGCATACAATCCCACAGCCTGTGGCATGTGCTTCAAAAGAAATAAATAAATGGAGCCATGTAACAAAGAAGGGGCATCTTTATGGCCAGCCCTGAAGACCACTAGGGAAGGAATAGCTGCCCTTCTGCCTTCTCACCCTATTTATACCATACAATAGCCCCTCTCCTTTAACTTTTCTTTCAGCAAAATATTTATTTAAAGGGATGTAATAAGGTGACATGCATTCTCCTAGTCAGTGAGTTCACAAACCACTCTGTAGCTGGCCCCAAACAAGTCACTGTCTCTCTGAGGGCTATTTATCTCACCTGTGCTGGTGGGTGGCAGCCCTGGTCCCTGGGGTGGGCCAGTGAGCTGGCCCCCAGCCTTGCCGTGCCTGCACCAATGCATCCACCTGACACTGGGGGTGGCTTGTTTTGCAGGTGAGCCGGCCTCATCCCAGCGACCACCCTCTCCTGATCCTCTTTGTCGTGGGCGGAATCACAGTCTCGGAAGCCAAAATGGTCAAAGACCTTGTGCCATCCCTGAAGCCAGGAACCCAGGTACTGAGTCCTCAACAGGTGAATGGGAAGAGCAGGAGAGGGCCCTTCTTTGGGCTTCCCAGGGCTCTTCTCCCAGCCGGCTCCCGCCTCTGTCCTGCGCTCCTTCTCTCCCACCTGCTCCTGCCACCTCAGTTCCACCACTCTCCCCGCCAGCCCCCGCGCCCCCTCCCACCCCAGGACCGCAGTCCACCTGGTGGAGGTGGAGGAAGCAGAGCTCTCCCTTCACAGTCCTCCCTGCCCCTGGGCTTCAAGGGCAGCGGTGCTAGTGGCCCTGTTCCTGAATCCCGGAGGGCGTACAGTCTCGGGTGTCCAACAAGGGCTTCATTCCTCTAGTTTTCACTGCTCTCCAGACTCCAGATAATTGAGGGTGACTCTGAGGACCATGTCTCACTGTGACAGTTGGAGGACAGGGATGGACAACTTTGAGAAGGGACACTGTCAAAACAACTGACAGGTATAGAATATTTCTTCTCTGTAGCCTCCTGCCAGGTCCCATCTCACTCCCCAAATAAGTGGCCTGGAGGTTAAGAACACAGATAGCTTGATTTCTCAGGCCTGAGTTCAAATCCTACCTCTGCATTTACTCTCCAGATGATCTGGGAGAAAAAAGCCCTCAGTCGTCTCATTAGGCAACAGGGCTGGGGTGGCTGAGAATCTAAATCTGATAAGGGGAGACAGTGTGCTTCTCAGCACAGTGCTTGGCACATACCCCTCAGTGAATGGTGGCTCCTGTAGGAAGGACTGAGGCTGCTGGCATAAGGCATCAGGAGCCCAAGGAGAGGGCCCGCAGGAAAGGAGAGCCCCTGCCTCCTGAAGCTCTAACCTGGCTGGGAAGCAGAACCTGTGACTAAATTTCATGGCCTTTGTGGGTTCCCCAGAGCAGACCCTGAGACAGGGACATGGGAGCAGGTAGCTTACATGGAAGATGATCCAAGAGGGAATCAGAGAAGAGAGACTGGGCAGGGCAATGAGCCAGAGGAGGCTGCATTGTTTGCTGGTTGCTGCTGGGGGCAACCGAGGCTCTGCCCACCGAGAGCCGGGCATTGCATGCCTGAGAATCCTCCTGTTGGAGGACAGGGGTGCCGGGACAACTTTGCATCCACTCCTACCCCACCCCCTGGCTGAGACTTGCTTCTGGGAGCTTCTCTCAGCTCTGTACCACTTCTGCATGCAGCTGAACAGCTTTCCACGGTTTGGACAGAGCAGAACAGATTTGTAAGTGGTGCCTCAGGGTTGATGCTGGCTGCTGCAGGGGACTGTCCCCCACAGCTGCCTAGAGACCAGCTGGGCTTCTAGCTGAGACCTAGCTGCAGGGGGTGCCATGCCTCTGTCTCCCACCTCCACCCACTGCTGTCCATGTCCACCCCACGAACCAAGGGAGCCTTCATTCTTATCTTCTTTAAGGTCCACCTATTGTTGCAGACCCTTCCCACATCTCTGCTGGCATCCACAAGCCACCCTCTGTAATGTGACCACTTGCTATTTGCTGGTCTCTTATCCTGCAGCAGACATGAAGTGCCTGAGGACAAAGTCCGGGGCTTCCCAGGCTTGAGCACATGCCAGGAGCTCCTAAGCCATTGGTTTAGCTGGACCTATGGGCTGGTTAGCTGCAGAAATAGCTTGGTGTTAGAACTGAACTGGCCAGACCATCTGGTGAAGTAGAGAAGGCCTGGTCTCTCTTGGTCTCCAGACACCCAGCTGAGGAATGGGACCCAGGTATCTAGGGAGCTACACTAGGTTCTTGGGCAGGGCAGTAACCAGTCATTGACTATGACCATCTCGGCTATTCCTGTCACCAGTTGTGGTCACAGCTGGTGAAATTTCTGATCAAGTGGCAAATATGCCTCCTTTAACACCCTCTCTGTCAGCAGTGTCAAAGATCTGTTTAGTGAGTGACTGCCTTTTCCAACAAGACTTTTTTTTAACCAGAAATTACACTTCTCGCACTGCCTCTAACAGGGTGAACTAAATTTTTAGCTCTTTGGAACAGTGGTGCATTGTAACAGCCTGACAGACATGTTAATCCCCACTCAGAAAGGATAAAATGCAGACGTTTTCAAAGCCGTGTGACCTGAGTTTGGCAACAGAGACCTGGAAACTGTGGTGGCTTTGCTGCTATCTGACCTTGCGCTCTGTCATCTGTGGAGAGAGCTTCTCAAGGAATTTTGGCTTAAGGAGCAGCCTTGACTGCTACTTGTCCTTTCTGCAGAAAGTTTCCCCAAAGAGTTAACAGTTCCTAGGAAGATCCCAAAGGCAGCAGAGAACAGAAGAGTTATTTATCATGGTGCCCCTCATCTCTAAGCTTTGAAAGGAGGTGGATTACCTGGATGTCTGCTGGAAGGACACCTGTGGAGGCAGGTCTCTTTTGTAGACTTCAAGAGGCCACAGTTGCCCTGGCCCTGCAGCCAACTCTGCCCAGATCTGGGACATGACCAGCTTGCTGCCTTTAGAAATGCAGTGGAAATTAGGCCGTGCTGCTCTAGCTATATACAAAATGGCAAGCACGTTCTACAGTCTGCGCAGCCTCACTCAGACTTCTGTAGGAGTGCACGTGAGAACTACACGCAGGGGTAGGTCCTACCGAGTCTGTGCACCAGCACACAGCTGGGCACCCTGAAAGCCATGTCTGGCAACCAAGAGAGTTGACTCGACCAGCAATGTGAACAGTGAGAATACACATGTCTAGTGCTTCTCTTCTCTCTTTAATATCCAACCTGCCCTTGAAAATCTCCAGTGACGAGGATTTGCCTCCTCCCACTGCAGCCCACTTGAGTCCTGGAGGGCTTTCCAGTTATGACCATCTCCTCTAGACAAGGCCAAACCTGCCTGCTCAGGGCTCTCACTCGGCAGTACTGGTTCTAGCTCTTGGACCATTTGGAATTTGCAAGCAAATCAGGCTCAGCCTCCTTCCACATGTCCTCCCCCAGGTCTGCTCTTCTCCAGCTGAGAGTCTTCGGTTCTTAAAGCCACCGCACCCCACCCCATGCTGTGGGTCTGTCATGGCAGTTCTCTGCACACCCTCCCCCCAACTGGCCTCGGTTCCGATCATCTCACCCTCTGGCACTCCCTTGTAACTGAGAACCCAGCCTTGCTGTGGGCTGATCAGTGCAGAGGCAGTGGGGCCGTCACCTGCTTGTGGCCTCCACAGCCTCCGTGGCCCCACATGACTTCAGCCCTGCCTACCTCTGGGCCTTCTTTCCCTCCCACTCTTCCGCCTTCTTACTCTTCTGACCTCAGGGCTTTGGGCTTTTTTACTGTTTTATTTCCGGCTCCTCAAACAGCACTTTGTATCCATTGCTATTCATCATATCTTCTCTATTCTACAGCTACATGGGTGCTTTTTGGACCCAAGTACAGGAACTTACAATCAGGTATATTAAATTGGATTACCTGATTATTCACTGAACATTTATTGTACATCTACTCTGTATAGGTACTGTTTGTGCTGAGGAGAAAGCAGTGACCAAGCCAAACATATTCCTGCTTTCATGGCACTTACATTCTAACAGTGAGTGGCTAACATCTAGCATGAGAAATCCAGCCAGAGAGAAGTGTGCCTAGAACATGGACAGGTGCCGTGGTGAGAGTAACTAGAGGACGTGCTTCCTTCAGATGGCACAGGCTGCTTGTGGAGCAGGCTTGGGAACTAAGATTTGAAAGGCATTTGGGGATTAGCTCTTCAAAGAAAACTGATCGAATCCATATAAGGTACATCCAGAAATGAATTCTTATTCACAAAAGTGACAAGGATAGCAGGAAACCGTGGATCCCAATGGAATCCATCTGCACCAGAAACCACCCAGGACTGTGGCCACCCTCTCAGATAAGCATGTCTTCTCCACTGTCTACCGTGGCCAGGGGTGGGTATGCTCATGCCAGAAAGGGGACAGTTGGAGGTCTTCTTTCCTGACTACGAAAAAAAGGAATCAAAGAGGCAGCTCCCCCTAGCCCACCCCACACAGCCACAACCACACAGTAGGAGGTTTGCAGGTGTCCCCTCGCTCCAGAGCACATGCCTGGCACCAGCCTCTGTCTCACTCCCTGCCCGGTGTGGGGCTCTGTGCCAAGACAGCTCTGTAGGCTGAACTCTGTAGCTGGATGGTGGCCAAGAGGCCAGCAGAAGCCTGGAATTGAATGAGGAAAATAACAGGGAGGGACCCTCCCAGAAAATACAGGGAAAGGCCAGCTCAGCAAATGGAGGAAGACTGAGTGGGCAGTCACCCTGCCATCCACTGCTTTCCACAGGCACATGCATGTCACCCACCCCACCTTCATGTGCTTCTACATTTCTGGAGCTGAATTTAGTAAGAATATAATTGACTAAAAAAAAAGTAGACCCAGAAACACATGTATACGCACACATTTTGCAGAACTTCAGAGGTGCAAGGACTCCAAAATTGTGGCTCTAAAACCTGACGCCAGGTTATTCTAAAAGTGATTGAAACTCCCAAAGAGAGGGATCAAGTGACTTTTTAGGGGGGCGTGATGTCTAGATTTGTTTTATTCTGCAGTTTCTTACTCTAAGGAGAACATCAGAGTGGGATTTAAATTTTTCTTTTTACCTGAGTGATCTTAGACCCTTATAACTCAAAATAGAAAATTTAGAGAAAGTGCAGAACATGGTACAGATGATCCTGGCAGTACACAGGGTCACATAGTTCCTGTTAATGGTGAGTTTCACTCTGTGCATTCTGTGTCTTTGATATTTGCAGCCATCTCCTTAATAGCTCTGAAGTCATTTGTGGGGTAAGGTTTTATCCTTGTTGTCTTCCCTCAAGTGACTTCTTTGTCACCAACAACAAATGAGGGGACAAAGGTGAGGCGACAATGTGAAATCTCATGCTTGCAGTTCTTCAGGAGAGCCTGATAAACACAGTACACAACCTAGAGGCAGCTTAAAAGCACGTTAGGCAGTTCACACTGTTTTCCAGGAAGTGTGACCTTGTCCATGTAATTAATCCACTGTCTCACTGGTTTAACAATACAAGTTTGTATGTGTA